GGGTCCACGTGTGGGTGTGTGATGGGTCTGGTATTGGATGGAGACTGTGTGTGGGTGTGCAAGCATGTCCATGAGTGTGCATGTGCACATACAATGGTGTATGTATGTGGTTTTAATGTGAGCAGGTGTGCGTGTGACTGAAGGGCACGAATGTGGACTGTGTGCTGTGCTTGTGAGCCTGTGCACATGTGAGCTGAGCGTGAGTGCATGAAGGTGAGTGAAGAGCACAAACGTGGTCCGTGTGCTGTGCTTGTGCGTGTGTACATGTGAGCTGAGCGTGAGTGTGCGAAGGTGAGTCCCACTGGCCACGTGAGTGCAGGTGAGGTTGCACTGCTAGGCTGTGGATTTCCAGCCCAGCTGCGCTGGATGTCTGCGTCTCCTTCTCTAACGCAGGACGGACAGAGGACCACTCAGGACACATCTCTGAGCGAGCTCAGGCACACAACTGGAGTTGGGCTTGGGTGTAGATGCTCTGCGTAGCCCTGGTCTCGATGCTGCAAGCCAGGTGGGCTTAGGGTGAGCGCCTGTCCCTGGGGTGGGTGGAGACCCCCATTTCCCCCTCAAGCCCCCTCACTGCACATCGCAGCCTCCTCCCACCCCTACTCCGTTTAGAGAAAGCCCAGAGCTCCCTCAGGCTGCTCCCCCAGCTCTCCTCTCTGACCGTGTGGGTCTCCCTGTCTCCTTCTGTCTGCTGCAGAGCCCACTGAGCCTGCAGTCTACGGCCCACAGGTTTGAGGATGGAGACTCGGGGACTGGGAGCCTCCCTGGAATGTTCTAGAAAGCTATGGAGGTGCACCTGTTGGAGAGACGGCAAATGGGGAGCCTCTCCCACCCGAATTCTGCCACAGCAACCTGGGTCTGTGGGCCTAAAGTGCCAGGCCGCTCCAGATGTTAACTCGGCCTGAGGGTTGGTGCCCTGTGAGGAACCCCGGATAGAACCTGGGGATGGAGGCCTCCGCTGGTCCTTGGGAGCCGCAGTCCTGGGATTCATCATGTGGTCATCATGATCACAGCTAATCCTGGGATCCTGTGCTGGGATGGGGAGGGGTCACGGTGGGAGCGTGTGCTGGGATGGGGAGGGGTCACGGTGGGAGCGTGTGCTGGGATGGGGAGGGTCATCGTGATCATGGCACAACACACTCTCTTCTGGTCTAGCTTTAGTGATGCCAGTGACACTCGCTGAAGTGTTGGGGTCCCACCTGAGGTGTACTCAGGTATGGGGGATTCCTGTCTCAGGGCCTGGCCAAAGCCATAGGGGACCCCTGGACCCACAGACAGCATCCCTGCTGCTGGGACTTCAGGCCTGTGTGGGAGCCTCTGCCGTAGGCTGATGGGGCCCAGCCAGGCACCTGACCCCCTGCCTCTGCTTTCCCAGGTTCTCCGCGGCTCTGTGTTTTTGCAGTCCCCCTCCAGGCTGGAAGGCTGCCACACCTCCACGGATCACGACGTGGCCAACCGGAGTGACCGCCATGAGGAAGTGGAGACAGACACGACGTTCAGCAGCTGAAGACGGGATAATAACGTGGGTTTGGTTTATGATCTAACGTGACCACTAAAATGCTGTTTAATAAGCGACATTAAAGACTACTTAGTGGCAGAAGTGCGTGGCAATGCTTAGTATAACCTCATGCCTGTGAATGCGCACAGATCTGAGGAAACACTTGCAGGACCATGCGCATGCTGGGGTGGGTTATCTCAGCAGGGTGGCACCTCTCATCTGGGTTCCCTTCTGTAGCGTCTATATTTTCTACAGCAAAGCTGAGATACGTTGGTGAGATGAGGCATTGTTTTCAAAGTTCCTGTTGGCAATTCCGTCACATCCCTGTGGCTCTGCCCTGGACCTGCTGCCCACTCAGGTCCCACTCGCCCCTGCCCTGCCCTGTCTGGCCAGTGGGCACCTGCCCAGGAGGAAGGGTCTCAGTGTTGGGGGCCTGTGTTATGCCTGAAAAGCCACTGCTGTTGGGTGAGGGCCATGAGGCCTTTTGTTTGCTGCCGTGTCCTGAAGAGCGGGATGCTGTTCGCTCCTGGCTGGACAGAGTTCCCTCAGTGCACACCGGGGCAGTGGTGGGCTTTGGGTGTGAGGCTCCCCTGTGTCCTGAACCCCTTAACCGTCTTGCAGGAGGGGTCGTGGAGCTGTTTCTGGGTTTGCAAGTTTTGGAAAGCTACCTGACAATCTGCACTCAGGAATGCTGAGTGCTTGGCAGTCCCCATGCATGCTGATCAAACATGATGCTGTGTGTCCCATGGCCTAAGGCTGTGGCAGAGACCAGAAGGCCATCTGCTCCCACAGCTCTTGAGCCCAACTCAGGGCTCCTCCTGCTGTCCTCCCTGGGTTTCAGGGGAGACACCCATCCTCCCCCAGAGCACTGCCTGAGACAGGCAGACCACGGTGCCCGGGCTCTTGCTGCACACGCTGAGGTCAGCACAGAGGCGCCCCCGGACACCAGCATGCCCTTGGGTTTGCAGCTTGTCAAATATCAGATGAGGGCAATCCGGCCAAATGTACTCTAACACCAGTGGGCCAAGAGAACGTCCTGGGCTGACCAGATGCAGCCCTGCATCCACCATCTGCCACCACCCCCCGTATACCCCCTGCACACACCTCTGCACACACCTTCTGAACATACCCTCTGCACACACCTCCTGCACACACCCCTGCACACACCCTCTGCACACACACCCTGTATAAACTCCTGCATACTCCCAATATACACCTCCTGCATATACTCCCTGCACAGACCCTGTGGCATCCTCTGCACACACCCCCTTTATTAACCCTTGCACACACACCCTGTATAAACCCCTGCACACATCCTATGTACACCCCCTGTACGTACTCCCTGCACAGACCCTGTGTGCATCCTCTGCACACACCTCCTGCACACACCCCAGAACAGGCCCAGCACCGTGGCTCATGGCTGACGGCGCCCTGGAGGGTCTCCCTGCGTTTACCCTGTGAGGTCCTTCCACAGAGCTTTCAGGGAAGACAGAGTTCAGCCTGTTGAGCGGGAAGACTTCAATCCCGCTCAGGACATGCACTGTGTCACTGTGTCACTGTGGCCCGGCACCTGGTGGACCCAGCCCAGAGCCCCAGGGGTGTCCCCTCCCCACCTTCCTCCTGGTGACTAGGGGCACCCAGATACCATCACTGCAGATTAGACCAGCTCGCTGGCAACGTCCCTGGTATGTCACTGCCAGGTGTGTACAGGGGTGAACCGCCCACTCAGGATCTTTGGGTTCCGTCCGCACAGGCCACGCCCCTCTCCCACCTGCCGCTGCAAGGCCCCGCCCCGCCCGCCGCGCAGGCCCCGCCCCGCCCGCCGGGCTCTTGGATCCACCGCGCAGGCCCCGCCCCTCTCCCACCTGCCGCTGCAAGGCCCCGCCCCTCTCCTCAGGCCCCGCCCCGCCCGCCGCGCAGGCCCCGCCCCGCCCGCCGGGCTCTTGGATCCACCGCGCAGGCCCCGCCCCTCTCCCCGCCCCGCCCATCGCGCAGGCTCCACCCCGCCCCACCGCGCAGGCGCCCTGGTGAGCGCTCCGTTTGAAACATGGCGCGGGCTGTCCCGCGGCTGGTGCTGAGTGAGGAAGCGATCCGGTCGAAGAGCGGCCTGGGGCCTCACCGCAACCTGGGTGTGCCGGCGGGCGGGCGGGCAGGGGTGCAAGCGTGAGGGTGGCGGGGATGCCGAGCGGTGCCGAGCTTCCCGGGGCGGCCGCGCCTGGTTGCCTGGGCGGCGGACCGCGGGCAGGCGGGCCCCTCTGCGCAGGCGCCGCGGGCGGCCGGGACGGTGGCGGGCGGGCGGGTGGGCGGGGCGCGCGTGCCCAGGTGAGGACCCCCCCACCCGTGCCCAGGTGCGGGCCCCGCGTGCCCAGGTGCGGCCCCTGCCCGCGTCCGTGTCCCGGCGTCCGGCTCCTGCCTGCCTGTCGGGTGGTTGTGGTTCCGTGACGGGGTACCTCGCTGAGAACGGGGAGCCAGCCTTGCCCTCCTGGAGCAAGGGGACCCCTCTCCTGGCTCTCCTGGGCCCACTCCGTGGTGATTGTTGGCCTCGGACTGCTTGAGGGATGTTGGTGGCCGCTTTCCTTCTTTTTGGCTTGCTTTTGCCTGGTGTTGACGTCAGGGTGAAGCTGAGTTTATAAACTGTTGACAAGTGTTGCCTTTTCTGATATTTAGAAGAGGTTTTGTAGAGTTTGTGCTAATGAGTGTGTGCTTTGATGTTTCTTGGAATTTTCCAGTGAAACCACATGGGCATGTAAATTTCTGTGTTTGAAGCTTTTAAATGACAAATTCTGTATCTGGTTGTTAGGAAACTGTTCATGGTATCAGTTCACCTTGAGTCTTGGCTGTGTCTGATTTTGTGGAGCTGACTTGTCGAGGATGTGTGTAGAGTCGTTCCTGGTGTTCTGTTATTAGCCTGTTGATGTCTGTGTGTGGTCTGCAGGTGTTACTGGGCCGACAGGTTCAGTCAGGTGCTGCAGGGCCACAGGCCAATACACTGAGACATGGGGTGGGGGGGTGGTTTGCAGCAGAGAAATAGTTTAATCCTGGCAGGAGCCCAGCAGGGAGGTGGAAGGAGGCCTTAATCCATCTCTCCAAGGAGATCTGAGCTGGGTTTTTTTTTAAGGAACAGAATCGTGAGGGGCTGGAAAATTGGGCTTGTCAATTGATGGCGGTAAAGGGCACGGAATCATCAGGATGATTAGATTCTGTGGAAACTGCATTGATCAAGTTCACCTGGAACATTCAACAATCTAGATCTAGTATCAGTTAGATCCTGTGGAAACTGCATTCTTTGGTGAGTCTGTTTGTGGGGTCCTTAGACCAGCTGGCATCAGTCCCCAGGTCCTGAAAGAATATCTCAAATGGAAAACTTAACGTTTTATAATGTCCAAGTGACTATATACGGAGTAGTTAGGGGGAGCGGTAACCTCGGGACAGAGTCTGAGTGGTCCTAAGGCAGTAGGTGCCACACAGCTCAGAGGAATCCGGTGACAGGGTAGCTGACCTTGGGATGCACTGAGTCCCCCTTCTTCCCTGCTTAGTGCTACAGCGTTTACAGGGATATCCCTCTTCTGTTCCTGACATTGATGATCTGTGTATTCTTTTTTAGTCTTGCTAGAGGTTTGTTAATGTTATTGATCTTTTCAAAGAACCAACTTTGGGTTTGATCAATTTTTCTCCAGTGTTTTTCTAGTTTCAAATTTCACTGATTTCTGCTTTTTATTTCCTTTTCTGCTTGCTTTGCATTTATGTTATGCTTTTCCTAGATTCTTGAGGCAAAAATGTAGATCATTGATTTGAGACTTTCTTCTTTTCTAATATAGATAGTGCCACAAATTTCCCTCTAAACACTACTTTCACTGTATTCACAAGTTTTATGTTGTATTTTAATTTTCATCCAGTTCGGAATATTTTAAGAATTTCCTTTGAGACTTCCTCTTTGACCTGTGGATTTTTAAGGAGTGTGTTTTTAAGGTTCCATGCGTTTGGAGATTTTCCTGTGTGATTCCATTATGGCCAGAACATAATCTGTATGATTTTAATTCTTTTAAATTTGTCAAGGTTTGCTTTACGGTCCAGCATGTTCCAGGTGCACTTGAATGTGTATTCTGTTGTTGAGTGTTATGTGAATACATAAATATCGATTAGATCCTGTTGGTTGATGGTATTGTTCAATTCTTCTGTATCTTTGCTGATTTTCTGTCTAGTAACTCAATTACTGAGAGAGGGGTCTTGAACCTTTCACTGTAATTGTAGATTTGTCTATTTATTTTTTCACGTTATGTGTTATGAAGCTCTGTTATTTGTTGAATTGCATATCTAGAATTTTTATATCTTCTTAATGAACTGACCCTTTTAATATATGTAGTCTTCCTCTTTTTTTTTTGAGACAGAGTTTTGCTCTTGTTGCCCATGCTGGAGTGCAGTGGCATGAACTGGACTCACTGCAACCTCTGCCTCCTGGGTTCACACGATTCTCCTGCCTCTGCTTCCCTAGTAGCTAGGATTACAGGCACCCCGCCACCACACCCAGCTAATTTTTGTATTTTCAATAGAGACAGCGTTTCCCCATGTTGTCCAGGCTGCTCTCAAACTCCTGACCTCAGGTGATCCACCCACCTCAGCCTCCCAAAGTGCTGGGATTACAGGCGTGAGCTACCACGCCCAGCCCTTGTTCCTGGTTTATTCCTGGTAATTTTCTTTGTTGAGACATCTGTCTTGTTTGATATGAGTAGCTACTGCCGTTTTCCTTTGATTGGTTCTTGCATGGCCTATCTTTTGCTATCCATTTACTTTGAACTTTTAACCTACTTGTATTTGATATTTGAAATTAGTTTCTTGGTTCATTATTTTTAGTCACTCTGCTAATCTCTGTCTTGTAGTAGTGTTTTAGGCCATTTACATTTAATCTAATTGTTAAATATTAGGACTTAAGTGTGCCATTTTATTTTTTAATTGTTTCCTGTGTTTTTTCTTCTGTTTCCCTTTTCCTGCCTCCTGTGACTTAGTCGAATATTTTTAGTATCTCATTTTGATTTATCTGTTATGTTTTGATGTATATCTCCTTGTATGGTTTTCATAGCGGTGGCTGTACAAATCATGATATGTATATGAAATTCAACACAGTTTACTTTTACAGACATTTTACCACTTCTAAGTGAAATGTCGAAACCTTACCACCATTGAGGTCTCTATCCTCTCCCCTTTACACTTTAGTTGTCTTAAGTATTTCCTCCGCATACCTTGAGAACCGTATTAATCATGTGAGTATTAAAACTACCTAGCCTTTTAAATAACTCAGGAGGAGACGTATTTATCCACATGCTTACCTGCTCTGTTATTTTTTCTTCATTCCACCATGTTTCAGGTTTCTTTGGTCTTTATGTTTGAAGAACTTTCTTCAGCGATTGTCTTAGGGCAGCTCTGCTTGTGACCTGTTCTCTTAGTTTTTCTTTATAGTTTTATAGTTTTCATCTGTCATCTCCATTCTGCTATTAAACTGCTCTTGCGATTTTCTGTTATTGTATTTTTCTTTGAAATTTCTATTTTTCTTCTTTATATCTTCTGTTTCTTTGCTAAGACTATTTTTTTCTTGAATTTTTGAATTTTTTTAATAGAGACAGGGTTTCACCATGTTATCCAGGTGGGTCTGGAACTCCTGGCCTCAAGTGATCCCCCTGCTTCTGCCTCCCAAAGTGCTGGGATTACAGGTGTGAGCCACAGTGTCTGGCTGTGAGCTTCTACTTCTTCCTTTTTTTTTTTTTTTTTTTTTTTTGAGACGGGGTCTCGTCTCACTTTGTTGCCCAGGCTGGAGTGCAGTGGTGCAATCTCGGCTCACTGCAGCCTCCATCTCCTGGGTTCAAATGATTCTCCTGCCTCAGCCTCCCGAGTAGCTGGGATTACAGGCATGTGCCAACATGCCCAGCTAATTTTTGTATTTTTAGTAGAGGTGGAGTCTTGCCATGTTGGCCAGACTGGTCTCAAACTCTTGGCCTCAATTGATCCACCCTCCTTGGCCTCCCAAAGTGCTGGGAATTCAGGCATGAGCCACTGTGCTTGGCAGCGAGCTTCTACCTCTTGCAGAATGCCTCTGTCACAGGAAACCTAGTCCACGAGCGCTGTGACACTTCCTGAAGGCTTGAGTGGGGTGGACAGAAGAGGAGGATGCTTATTCAAAGTGTCTTAAGGTTCAGCACACTGACAGAGGCAATACCCAACTCACTCTCAGTTTTGTTTGGGTCCCCTGGCAATTGAGTTTCCATATGGTCGGCTCAGAGACACCATCATATGTGGTATATTCACATAGGCAGACAAAGGAAATTCTAGAAAGCCAGGGGTGAAAAAAAACTCTCCTTTCTCAGACAATTCTGTGATGTCTATGTGGACTAAGGGGAGAAGAACAGAAGTTTCTCTGGGCCTTGGCATCTTGGGATCCCTTCCCTCATTTTCTAAAAACGGTTTCTCACACCAGGCTAAGGAGGTGGTGGGGGAGGAGGTCTCCCTTCCCCTGCCCACTTCAGACAGTTCTAGGGCGATAGAGGCTTTACTACTTGGCCACTAGTCTCAATCAGAAGGCTCCTTTTCCTGAGGCCATGCAATGTTCTGGAACCACAGGCCCCTCAGCCCCCCAAGGGAGCACAGAGGGGCAGGCTGTGCTTGGGCTTCTCACCCACAGCCACTTTTTTGGCCCGACTCTCAGGCAAGCCCTCATCACCATCAGGGTCTATGGGCAGTCTAGACTTGCCAGCCCAGTCCTTGAACTTGGAGAGGGAGGTAGGGCTTGGAAATGCCTTGTCCCCGGGGCACCCTGTCCTTGGAGCTGAGCCCTGTGCCCACAGCTGGGTTAGTTTGCAGGCACCGCTGTGACACTCTTTGCTGGTGGGAATGGAGAGGCCTCAATGGCCTTCTTTGCCTTTTTCTTCTTTTTGGTTCCAAGCGATACGTGGTCCCTGGTGAGCTCACCTGACTTCTGCCTCTGGACCGTGGCCGTGCTGGTGGGGGTGGTGGCGACTACCCCACCTTCTTGGCTTGCTTTTTCAATTTCCGCTTCTTCTTTGCCTCCTTCTCCACCGTGCCAGCGCCGTGGATGGCTGACTCCTGCAGGACGTCCGACGCCGACACAGCTGCCTCCCGGCACCGTGCCACTCCTCGTTACTGTCCTCACTGCTGGAGCTGGCGGGCGGGCGCTTTCGGCGGGGTTGGGGCGACTCTTCCTTCTCACGACCTCCAGGGACAGACGTGAAGAAAAGGTGGAAACCATCATCCTCTGAAGCGACTTTGTACCTGAGCTTTTGTTGGCCCCTTTGCTACTTCTGAGATGGTAATGAAGCTGTCCAGCAAGGCTCCCAGCTTCTTGGCTACGTGGGCTTGGAATTTGGGGTGGTCTGAAGCTCGTTGCCGTCTTGCTCATGCTCATCCACCTTAGGCCTGAGGCTGGGTTGGGAGGGTCACAACCGGTTATTTGCAGCACCTGGGTTTTCACAGAACATCTTTGGCTGCTGTGCGGCGCAAGACTGTTGGGGAAAAGGCAGGAACACAGAGTCTGCTGCAATAATTGAGCTGGTGAGAAGTCTCTCCAGAGAGACACACTTTCCAGGTGGAGTCAATAGGATTCACCGATGGATGGCTCTTGGCGTCACTGCCCCGGGCGGCCTTGCTCCAAGCCCCAGGCCGGCATTGCCACCTCGAGGCATCACACCAGCCCCTCCGCATTGCCGCCACTGCTGCTGCTTTCCGAACCGCCCGTATTGCCATTGGGCGCCGCCGTCTGGAACTACCGCTAAGACTATTTCTTCTTTTGTCTCAAGTGTTTGTAATTGCACACAGAAATATTTTATTACAGTCACTTTAAAGTCCTTGTTAGACTTGACTTCTGTGTCCTCTCTTGGTGATATCTGTTGATTGACTGTTTTCTCATTCAAATTGCCATTTTTCTGGTTCTTGGTCGTTTTTTAAATTGTACTGTGGACATGCTGGGTATGACATCATGAGACTCTGCTTCCTGTTTAAATCCGCTTACTCGAGATGACTCCTCGCTCTAGCCTGCTGGGTGCCGCCTCTGCCCGGACGGTCGTGGGGCTCCGGCTTCACCCATGGCCTCTGGCGGACTCTGCTGGCTGGGAGGGTGAAGGGCACCACGTCATTCCAGCCAGGCCAGGCCAGTAGTCAGGGTCCATTCTCACACCCAGGTGCTTGCTGCTGCACAAGGCCAGGTGGATGAAGGGTGTATGTGTGGGTGGGGGGGAGGCTTGGTTGTAGTAGGTTGTGTGTGTGTGTGTGTGTGTGTGTGTGTGTGTGTGTATGTGAGATTTGGTTGCAATAGGGGGTGGGGGTGGGTGTGTGGTTTGGTCACAGTAGGGCTGATGATGTGAACAAGGCCAGGTGGACAAGGGGTGGGGGCGTGTGTGTGTGTGTTTGTGGTTTGGTCACAGTAGGGCTGATGATGTGAACAAGGCCAGGTGGACAAGGGGTGGGGGGGTGTGTGTGTGTGTTTGTGGTTTGGTCACAGTAGGGCTGATGATGTGAACAAGGCCAGGTGGACAAGGGGTGGGGGTGTGTGTGTGTGTGTTTGTGGTTTGGTCACAGTAGGGCTGATGATGTGAACAAGGCCAGGTGGACAAGGGGTGTGTGTGTGTGTGTCTGTGTGTGTGTGTGTGTGTGTGTGGTTTGGTCACAGTAGGGCTGATGTGAACAAGGCCAGGTGGACGAGGGGGGTGTGTGGTGTGTGTGTGTGAGAGAGATTTGGTCGCAATAGGGCTGATGATGTGAAGAGAGCCTATGTGAAGAGGCCTGCAAGGCCCCTCCTGGTCCTTTGACCATTAAGAGCAGGCTGAGGGTTTTTGGTCCATTGGTGTGTCTGGGATGCTAGCTTGTGTGGCACCCAGAGTGGGACGTGTAGTAGGCCAGCATAAACAAAACCCCAGAGCCAACCAGGGACTCAGTGCTGGGTGGTTGGCCATCTGTTCCCACCTTTCGGTCTCCCAATGCTTGTTTTGTGCATTTTCCTCCAGGGTGGTGGGTCTAATACGTGGGAGGAGTAGGGTGAAATGTATCTCCTCCATCTTGCCTGGAATTGGAAGAGCTCCAACTCAATTTTAAACTTAATCAAAACATATTCTGGCCGGGCACAGTGGCTCACGCCTGTAGTCCCTGTACTTTGGGTGGTCAGGTCAGATGGATCAGTTTAGGTCAGGAGTTCAAGACCAGCCCGACCAACATGGTGAAACCTGGTCTCTACTAAAAATACAACAATTAGCTGGATGTGGTGGCAGGCACCTGTAATCCCAGCTACTCAGGAGGCTGAGACAGGAGAATCACTTGTACCCGGAAGGTGGAGGTTGCAGTGAGCTGAGATGAAACCACTGCACTCCAGCCTGGGCAGCAGAGTGAGACTCTGTCTCCAAAAAAACACCAAAAAACAAAAATCATATTTTAACATTTAAATTTTCCTGGGAAAGTATTGACGTATTCAGATGTAAACTGTCTTTTTGGCTGTGGAAACTTTCATCTTGTAGTTGATGTCGGTCTAATGGCTGCTTGTGGGCTGCGTGTTGCAGAGGCAGGCACGCTGCACGGAGCTCGCACGGTCCCACCGAGGGGTGCGTGTTGCAGAGGCAGGCACAGTGCACGGAGCTCGCACGGTCCCACTGAGGGGTGCGTGTTGCAGAGGCAGGCACGGTGCACGGAGCTCGCACG